AGAATATTACATGTACGGCCATGCTATAGCAATGCAAAGCTAAGTCACAAATATTCATAGAAATAATATTATTAAACAAATGCATTGTAAAACAATATAATATTATTAATAATTATTAATTATTAAAGGTACAATATTATTAGTAAACGGACAATGTCTTATTGATATAAAATATTTTTTATAGTATTATGACGTAAACTCCCAGACAGTGTCATGTAACTCGAAATAATTAATATGATAATATTATTATTATGATCATTGTTGGTTCTGCCGCCGCACCGGCTTTTGTTGTTGCTGGGCCTTCTCGACAGCCGCCTTGGCACGGTCGGCCGTCTCGTTGATGACGTCGGACGCGTACTCGAACACCGCCTTGCCCTCCGTGCCGACGGCCCGTAGCAGGCTGTCCAGCGCGGTGCTGATCCTCCGGTCACCGCCGACGTCGTCCCGGTCATCGCCGCTGACCGTGCGCCGTATATCACTCACGGTCGACTGCAGCTTGTGTATGGTCTCGTCCATCACCTTCTTGGCCGCGGCCACGGTGCGCCCCTTGGTCTCCTGCAGCCTTCCCAGCGCGTTGTCGCCCGGCGGCAGTTTCTTCTCAGTAATGCGCTTTCCGCCTCCGATTTCCGATATTGGCTTGGTCACGCTTGGCTGGAGGCGACTGAGCACGGTCGCCGCGTTCCCGGCCGCTGCTCCCGCTCCGTCAAGCGTCTCGGACGCCTGCATCTTGACGCTGTCCATTACGCCCGACACTCGGTCCATCAGCGACGGTGACGGCGTTACGCCTTCACCACCGTCAACGACACTGCCACCGCCTGCACCACCGCCGCCGCCGCCGTCGTCTTCGCCATCGTTTTCGCTGGCGGGTGAGGCCGTTGTGTTCTAAGGAAAAAACCATAACAGTAGTGCCACAACGACGCTTTGTAGGCCCCGGTGCGAAAAATAATTAGGAGGTCCCATAAAATGGCGCATTATCATTATTCATTAGAAATTTTTATTTTTATCAGCTCGATAGTATATGCTTATAATATTTTACGATGTTAATGGCACATTAAAATCTTAACATCAAAATTTTTATTCCAGATATGACCGAAGAGATGAATCTATCGATTTTACAATGTGTGTGTGTGTGTGGTTATTTGTGTCCGTCTTAACCTTTTGGAGTTGTATAATAATAATGCTTCAATATTTAAACATTGTAAATTGGACCTAGTCGATACTTTTAAGTACTATGTGACATAGTCTATGTCTATGTGCCATGATAACAGACAGAATCCATAGACTATAGCCCGCTGCCTCCAATATATATTTGAACGGCTGTACGAACCTTTCCGTGCAAAAGATAAATCACAATTTTAGGATTTTGGGATCGAATATTTTTTGTTATTGTTTTTATAGTGACCTTAAAAATGCAGCGTTCTTGGACACTTAATAATTGGATCAGATCAAAGTGATCAACACGACACAATTATTAGTACCCAATAGAGTTCATGACCTACATTGTTAGTCTCTGAGCGAAGCAATGAATGTATCGATTTTACAATTATGTGTGTTTTTTTCCGTCTGTCATCACCATTTGTGACTGTTACATTTCAAGCATATCATTAGAAATATGTAAATGCTATAAAATCCCAAACCTATTTATTATACTATACACACACAATGATATTTTAAAATGCAATGTTTTCGTCAAAAATTAATTCAACCTACTAATAGTAAGATAAATAACGATTTGCCCAATAACGAAGTAGGTAAATACTCGAGTACTGTGCAACAGAGTGATAACCTATTTTTCCTCTTTTTAAAATCTAATTTATGTATACATATTTTACAAACGACGTTATAGTTACGACTTATTCAATATATCTACGTGTATTATACCTATATAAATTTCAGGCGATATAAATATGATAAACCCCAAACATTTTCATCGCCAGTCCGGTGCCCCTCCACCCGAAACAAAATTAGTCCACGGTGCCAATAATTTATCATTATAATAACTAGTAATAGTTAATAAAAAATAATTGATATTATTGCACGTAATATACATTTCATTAAAATTGATAGACGTTCAAACATAATAATATGTTCAAGCCGATTCACGCACATTTCTGTTACACTTCTAGCGACAGACGCTTTAAATATCTAAAGAAGATAAATCAATTCTATAGATGATTGATTTTGTCGAGGCACGCTGTTCTTAGATATTTTTTTTACATATTTACGACCTTGATAGAAATTAATAGCCAATACATGGTGGTTAACGTTAGTGGTATTTTTATATTCTAATTTGTAACATTTCGTTTAAGCAATACTTATAAAAAAAACCTTGACCAACTAGCAATATTAGTGGTTAAAAATATTTTCATGAATCCATCAGAAACATTAAAAAGCCAATTAATAGTACCTAATTCGTATTGTACATTGACTTTAATATTTTACAGTTTTTATAATTGCACACAGATATAATATAGAATAAACTAGATTGTCAACTGTAATACGACGTGAAGATACCACCCGCCAGTGCCGGATTAAGACAAAGAAAAGCAGCCGCATTTCCTGTACTGCTGCGGCGAATTGCACTTGTCCGAAAAATTATAAGACGTAATTAAAAACCATATTAATATTTAAGTAATTCTTCGCCTCGGACTGGCACGAACTTCCACAGTCACAGTGCCCCTATTAAAAAAAAAAAATAGCCCCCTCTGATGGCAATTTTTATCTAGCCCTAGGCACGTGCCTACCCTGCCTATACGTTAATCCGGCACTGCCACCCGCCATTTAAAAAGAGGCCGATGGGCTCTTATTACACTTAATTAATGTCGATAATAAACAAATTTAGAAAAATAATAATTTTTATATACAAATCATTTTATGTTATATCTCATAAACATGAGTGATAAGGAACATTGGCTTCAATTAAAATGGCGGCCAATAGCTTCAACCAATATCACAGTTAGCAATCTAGTTTATTCTATAATATATTATATTAATATTATATCCGTGGTATTGCATAATATATTAACAATTAACATGCACTAAATCGTATCGAATAGGTAACTTATAAATTAATACTATAATAGTTTTGTTTCATATCAATGAACTACCTGCGTCATAATCATAACAAATACGTCGTTCCTAATTCGATACTATAGAAATATGGCTAGTAATATTCTTATTTTTTAATCAATAATATTTTCAAATGATACCAACGTTTTTGACTTTAGTTATTCAATTTCAACAATATAGTATAATTAAATATTTTATCTCCGCACGACGCGATAAGTGAAGATGGCCAACAATTATATTGATTAGTTCAATTGTCGAACTGAGAGTTAAATGCATTTAAGTGACCGTAAAAGAACATTAATTCTGTCCGTACCTAAACTGATTTGTTTGTCATCGTTATTTCGAATATGATTGTCCCTTAGATCATATACTATGGATGGAGCCACTGCGTATTATAGCAATACAAAAAGTTGAAGCCGATATTAGCGACGAGTCACCGAATTAGGTGATCGATATGCGCATGCGCGAAACAACTCGTTTAATATTAATATTATAATCACCAGCTGATAAATATGCGAGAGGTTGCGTTGCGCATGCGCATATCGAACACCTAATTCGGTGACTCGGCTGGGATGGGGACAGTTATAATATTAATATTAAACGAGTTGTTTCGCGCATGCGCATATCGATCACCTAATTCGGTGACTCGTCGCTAATATCGGCTTCAAAATAATATGCAGTGGCTCCATCCATAGTATATGATCTAAGGATTGTCCTTAATTGAACGTAAACTACTTATTCAGTTGTTACGCGCAGTTGTGTATATTTTAAACTAGCAAAATATGATAAGTGATAACCTTCTCGCCGTCATGATGTTTTCACTTTGCGATTTTCATGATGCAAAATCGTTTCACGGTTGTATACCTACTTATTATCATCGTTGACAATATTTCGAAAACGCCACTTATACCTTCCAACACCTAAACATCGATTTTAATCAATGCCACCCCTGCCATGGTCTCCGATTGCACGCACGGTTAGAAACAAACCGCTATAAATATAATATTAAAAAGGTGTACAGCCAACCTACAATCCATGTCCAAACCAGAAGTATTTAAAAAGTGTAGGTACGTTGTATTGAAATTTTTGATAAGTATAAAGCACAATAAGAATCGAATAAAAAATATACATAAAAAAAAAAAAAAAATAGTAAAATATTGTTTCATCCGGATTATTATAAGCGACTGCACACTTGGCACAACCTATAGCCATATTATGCGCGGTGATTCTACTCGTATAAATAAGGAATATAACATGAATAATAAAGTAATTTGAAGTTATGATATTATTATTTTTCTTCTTGCATGTTCTAGCTTAACAATACGGCAATACAATTTCGTGATAATTTAACATTTTGGTTTCAAACAATCGTATATTAAATCGACAATAATATAGTCCTTTGCGTGTTCGTGTTTGACGAAAAAATATTGTTCTCGTGAAACATAAGTTTCAATAATATTGTCGAATGTTTGTCGTGCAGATTTTTATTGTACATTTGCGGTTAATTCAAAAATCAAAATTGAAGGTATTATTACATTAAACAAAAAATAGGCTAATACCATCGTTGTTGAAGCCTTAACAGATAATAATAATAAAAATAAACTTAAAAAATAATATTTAGATGATTCACGTTTCCTTGTAATGGTATTTTTAAAAACAAACAATAATTTAAATACACATATCTCATACAAACACAAACATTTGCGCGTAGCACAACAAAATATTGATTATTAGATCAAGGTCCATCACATATAAAGGAACATTGTGAATTGTATTGCAGACATTTATTCAACCCGAACAATTAATAATATGGTTCCGTTTATACATTTAAAGCAATACATCACGAGAGTCATTAGTCATCACAATACATGATATATAATACTATGTCGATAATACTGTTGATGAATATATTGAGTATAATCCGCCAGACGTCAGTGCAGTGTTTTGGGCCTTCTTCCCTGCAAGGCTTTCATTCGTTTCCTCATCCGACGCATTCTGGCTAGGTTTCTCATCCTGGAGCCGTTCAACATAGTGTTGAGTCTAATCTTTCTGGTGCTCGCCAAAAGGTTTTTCGGTATCATCAGCCCCGGTTTGAAAAACAAATCCACCGTCCGTTTTCCGATGGCCAATGCTTGCTGCAGTACATTCTGTACAAGCGAAGGTCGTTGCAGAACCGTCTCCATACTTTCCACTTGCTGCGAACAATATAATATTATAACGTCATGTGAATCGCACGCCACGACCACTCCGGAGCGGCGGCTCGCTTTAAAACCTCCCTCGTCGACTGGACTAAATCTCGATCCTAAACCATACGCATATATACCACTAAACGACCGCTGTAACCACACCCCTGCCATAAAATAATATTATGTTGAATATAAATACAACATATAGATGTATATCGTATTCATTGACCAGCGCGCCAACAGCGACCAGCCTACTCGACAATCAGACGGGGGTATGAGGAAAGTTTGAAAATAATATTTCTAGGAACACGACATTTTCAACAGTTCTGAATGCCGAAAGTTATTTAATAGTGTGGTAGGTCTCAAACCTTCGGAAATGTATGGGTTAAAGTGGTTTTAGTTAACGACGAATTCGAGCTTTGAGAATACTGCACGACGCAGTTGTTCGTAGTTTGTACTTGGTTATTACCTAGTTTATTAAGAATCATTGTTATTCGTTTTATTGTGAAGTTATCACTGCTGACCTACTGATATATTGTGTTAAAACTTAAATTCTACAACAGTAATTCGTTAGATAAGTTAAATTAGCTTTGGCTAAAAAGTAATTTTAGAAATCATGAATCATAAAAACTTCTGTCTAAGAAATTATTAAACTTTTGAAGATCGTTTATTGGATGTGAGCACAAGCATAGTATACAGTTTATTTTAATTACCTTAATTCTAAAACTATATTCAGTTAAATCTTGAGGAAATACTTAGCTAACGATTTCGAAAGTTTAAAATTTGTGGAATATTATTATATGGTAGGTCTAAACATTTACAGCTAATATTTTTCAATAACGTACCCAAATAAATGATTGAATGGAAAAAATTAATGACATTGTGTTATACCTATGGAACTTGTTTAAAGTAAATAATTTGTAATAGTGTGCCTAGGTGTGTGTACGATTTGTAGTATGATCTAAATATTATTGTATAGTAATTAACTAATATAAAAGTGAGTCAGTATTATTGTGAGTTGTGCGTTTGTTTACCAACGTGTGCCATAAATTATAATAATTATACTTAATGCATAAGACAATGAATGATTTTACATTTTAACACAATACAGTTAAATAGGTATAGTAAATGTATAGGTAAGCTAGAAGTTTAACTTCAGGCTTTTCCTGAATTTTAAAATAAAAACTAAACGGGTACAGACGTGTTTATTTGTTTGCTTTTGTAACCATATTGTTTGGTTTTCCGCAAGTCTATTGACACATAAATGTGAATATTAGCAGGTTAAGTATATAATATTTAGTTAGACGTTGTTTATATATAGGTAGTGTACCTACTAATCAATGGCGTAGTTCGTTACAGTTAACGTAAGGCGCACTAGGAATTTTGTTTTTGTTTAAAGTGCAATACAAATGTCTGCGTTATCTCTTGATATACCTACTAATATTACAATATTACACAATATTATAAGATAAATCATATTTTCATGCACAAAGGTAATTTATTAGAGTTACAAGTGTCCAATTATTATTAAACTATGAAATATAAAAAGGTACGTTCGTAAAAAGCGAATATGTTATAGTCGTGCATGTACATTGTAGGTAACTATATTATATTATGTCTCTACGTTTCACTGTTTAACATACGACGACGGTCATATTTCGTATACATGACTATTCATCAGTGTGTTGTCTGCAGCCGTATATAGGTTATAGTTGACGAAAAGTGGATTTATGATATATACCTAATATGTTCAGTCGTTCAGATGGTATGCATTATAATATTAGGTATAGTACACATCATAATAATATACTGTTACAATTTATTATGTTGAACATTTTTCTTATTAGGAGAATATTTGCAAGAAAATCATAAATATTGAAATACGGATGTTCCAGTTGTTGTACCACAAGCTCGGATTAATATTAATCCAGAAGTCACAAGTATGAGTTCTGTAATTAAACGATAAACTTTTCTAATCATAATACACTTTTAATGTACATTAATGGCCAAACAGGAGATGGTCCAGGAATGCTAATAAAAGGGGTGACTTTAAATTTGAAATTTTAAGCTAAACAATAATTGTATACAGAACTAATGGTATATGCAGCCAAAGTTAATTTTAGATCAATATAAATAATAATTTAGACCATTCAAAAATCGATTACCTAACCTAACCTAACCTAGCTTGCCTAAATACGTTTTGTTGGTGTTTATTTCAATCGTTCAAAATTATTTTGATGTTTATCTCGATTTTTACCTAGGTGAGAAAAAATGTTCAAATAGATTTCATAAGATTTTATTAGCGGGCTCTTCGAGATAGATCTACTTTATCTGGTCTTATGTGACGAATGTAAAACCGTTAAAAACGAAATGTATAAATATATAATTATTCGTTTGACTTTTTTTGTGATACATCGCCAAAATATTATGGGACCAATATTAACATATTATACAGTGTCGTTATAGTTCGTAGGTATATTGTTAAGATGAAACCCACAAACGTGAAATTTCGTATACAGCATAAATCGACGGTCATAATCTCACATAAGACATTGCTGTAAATGAACACAAATAATATAATGCCATAAATTATGCAATATTGTTATTCATATTGGAATTCTGAGAAATAAATTTAATGGTTGTATTATGTAGAATTTCGCGTAGGTATACACACATATGATTTTAATTCGTTTGCATCTTTTCACCATAAAATATTTAATGAGTTCGTAATAAATAATAATAATATTCCATCGCAGATAAAGACAGACCGTCGAAAGAGAAAAGTCAGAAAAATAAATAATAATATGTATAATATAAATAGTGTGTACAACACAATAGGTGTTATAATGTATTATAATACCTATTGTATTGTAATTTTTATAGTTTAGCTTACGTGTAGGACGGACATGGTTAAGCCGATCACCAGGAAACCACTGAGCAAACGACGGGAAACGATCATAGTTTTTTTCTTCTTCTGAGGACGGGTGTAAAAAAAAATTGAACCAAATATTATTTCATTTACGTTACCTATCAACCGGCGTGCGTGTCGACTGAATACTAAATAGATCGTTTGCTGACCGTGTACGGTATTTGATGGATTTCGTTATAATATTATATTGCTTTAAACGTCTTTCGTCATTCGACTATCAAACGGGATTAGATAAAAGACAAAAAAAAACGATTTATCTCTATATTATATTATGTATATCATGTTGTTTGTTAAACAATATCCAATTGTTTTGTTGTTTGTACGGTGGTTTCAACAGTGGCTGGTACCATATTATTATTAATTGTATGAACTATGCTGGTATATGATACGTGATATACGTATCGCGATTTGTGGAAAATGTGTAGAAATAATTATGATTATTGCACTCTGATCAAGATTTTTTTTTATACTGGTACTTTCAACTATATTATTGGAAGTGTACATGAAAAAACAATAGTATAAAATCATCTTATTAAGGATTTAAATATAACTGCACACACGAATACGCAATGTTTATAATATAATATGAGTAGGACGTACCTACCTATATAGCCTATAGGTATAATGTAATAAAATATAATAATATAATTTACACGTAGGTACCTCGGGTGCACTAATTGGCAATAATTTCATTATTGTTTCTAACTTGCTTATAGTAATAATTATTGTAAATGTATAATTAGGTATTTACCTAGTATGGTATTTAAGAACAAATTCGTAAAGTTGTACCGAACTTGGCAGGTGTGATTATAGAGTTTGAACTTTAAAATAATTATTTACACGCCAAGTGAATGTGAAGGGTACTTCTAAGTACTGTTAAGAAATTTCATATTTGCAATCATTTGCATTATTTTAGCAAATTCATATTTGAATGAAATGACTGCAGTTTTAAAATTATTTTATTGTTTTATTTATGTGTAATATTATTATTCTATAATATTGTTCGAATGCACTGTGCACGTTGTATTCTTGGAATATGTTCGTTGACCTCATTCGTAAATATTGTATTATGTATACAGCATTATTCTCAATAGTTAAAAGTGAAATTTTTAGTGTGTGTTGACAGTTTAGGTTGACATAGGATGTATTAAATTATAATTAATGATGGTTTTTGCGAAATACTAAATCTTTTTGACAAATATAAAAAATATATATATTAATATAGTGCTTATTTAATATACACTTATAGTAAATAGAGAATTTATATTAATATTATTTTAAAATTAATATCCATTTATTTCATTTACACCTACAGCAGAGTTTCAATAATGTGGCACATATAGTGTAAAATTGGAGTGTAGACGTATAATCGAATTATTAATAATTGGAATTCATAAATAAAAGTTTGGATCTTATACATTATTGTTTTTAATTGCATAATAGCAATATAGTACTATCCCACATCTTAAAAAAAATTACCGATTTATAGCGTTTTGTTCCACCGATTTGACGTCGCATTGAATTGTCAGGTACACCAATTATTGAGGTAAATTCGCCAAATTTTTTTTTTAAACAGTGGGTAGGTCGATGGTGGTTATAAGTGATTTGTGGTACTTTAACATGATTATAATATTTAAAAATGATGGTTTATAATAATTAATAATAGTATGGCAGGCTACAAAAATTAGTTTCAAGCAGGTAGGTCATCTAGTATTTTTTTTCCTAAGACAAGAAATATAGATCAGCACCAATGAATGTACCTAAAATAAATATTACCGAAAATGAATTTGCGGGCAAGACTGGTTGAGGGAATATCGTGTTTCGATGAACGAGACTCTTCTTGATTCAATAATTATTATTTACTTTATTTTGCTTTTTATAAAAAACAACATAATTAAAATCAATTAATTTGGCGTTTAAATTGTGTGAAAAAATACGAAGTATAATGACTACATAATAAAATATAAACCAAATTATTGAAATAAAACGTATAGATATAATGAAATATACTTCTTTATAATTTGTGAATATTGAAAGTCTTACTAGTTGTAGGGTATCTCACAGAACTTTCTTGTTTCTTGTATGGCTTTTGATATTATGACTACCTATAAGGTACGAAATGAGTCATTCATTAGGTACATTTAGTTGTTTGTACACACTTGTAATTTGTAGGTCGTAGGACATAATATCTATTTCGTACATATTAATATTTTAACGTTTATAATAACGTTTTAGTCCACGT